TTTCATCGTCTTTTATTTGCTGTTTTGTTTTTCAGGACTCAGTTGTTCGGCTCACACTGAGAGAACGGAGATTTTATTTTACATCTTCTGAACAGGTTTATTTATTGTGTGACAGAAGAAGCTGGTAACCCTCCCGCTGATCTGCAGAGGTGTACATGAACGTGAATGAACAAATCTTTAACACTAAACATAATGTAGTGAATCAGCAGCGTCAGTGATCGACTCAGTAACAATATGTTGATTCCACTTCACTTAAAAGTTTCTGAAACAAAAGAAAATAAAGAAAAGTTCACTGAGAGACTGTGAAACCCTCACATAGTTTCTGCAATAACAGATGCTGGTTACTGACCTTATTCACAGTATTTTATAGGCTTGTTGTACAAACACCAGCTTCTGAAATGTCACATGAACTGTGAAATGAAATGCAAAACGATTGAGGCCTGAAATCGAACATTTAAGACAAACTTTATTGATCCCACGCAGGACAAACCGCAGCAAAAGTGTGCCAACATCTGGAATATACACATGAACATCTATAAAATGAAGTGTAAGGAAACAAAAATAAAGTACTACACATATAAAATAGTGAAAACAAAGTGTAGCCACAGAAATAACGTGTAGGCGACACTTTCTGCTGTGCTGTGGTGCCTTCATGTGCCGCGGGAACCATCAACTGTCAGTGAATGAGCAGCAATTACTGGTTTATTTTCTAAATTATATTCAAACTTATAAAAAAAATATGAAACAAACGCCTTCAGTGTTTGTTGACACTACACTGTAAAGAAAAGTCTGTAGATTTTAGATTAGATATTAAAATAAATGGGAAAAACCCTGCAAACTTTTTTACAGTGAAGGTTGCACACAGCTAAACAGTAATAGTAACACTGCAGTAATTACAGCAGCCTCCTCCATCTCACACACACACACACACACACACACACACACACAAACACACGTCCTAAGATATGGACTGATAAGAGAGGAAGGACAGACATAAACACACACTTTACCCACATTCACAAAACTCTCTGTTGGACACGTTATCGCCGTCATTCTTATTGTCTTCTGTCACTTGATGTCCTTGTCTCGGAGGGCGAGCGACGCGATAAAGCCGCTGTCTGTGTTGTGTTTTAATAAGTTTTATCTGAAGACTCTAAACAGACAAACAACGTCAAAACTCAGAGCGGACCTGATGGGAGTGTCGAGTTCACTGCGTGGAGGTCATCAGCTGCAGATGATGAAATTAGAGCCCGAGCAGTAAAACAGCGAAGGCCCTATTGAAACTGCTCGGGTTATTATTATTATTATTATTTTAATACCAAATGAAATGGCCTCTGAGCACCGTGACAGTGCCTTTATTAAGAGGGTTTGAGATGGACTATATGGCCAAAAGTATGTGGACGCACCTTTTCCCACAATTGGACTCTCCTGCACAGAACCCTGATCTAAACCCCTGTTAACGCTTCTGTGGTGGTTTTTTGTTTACCTGCCCAGGGACAACAGATGCAAATTAGCTGTTAGCTAACTCTGGTGCAATTACGTCTCTGCAAATATAAACAAATAAATAATAAATTAGCCACTCACGAGAAAATGGCAGGGGGTAAAGACTTTCTGAGGTGAAGTTTGGTGGCGTGAGAGGATTAGGAGAAAAACTGGAAGGCCGTAACAAGAACTGACAACAATCTCGCTTGCATGGAAGCTAAGAGGTTTTTTTTTTTTTGTTAATGAAAAACGCTAATAAATAAAACTATTTGTTGGTGGGGCAAGTAAAAGATCACTTTGGGCAAGTAAATTTCTGACCCAAAAAAGATTAACATTGAACCCTGAAGAGAGTAAGATTTATAAAGGAATTATCAAATGGATGCAACAGACGCTGAAATATCCTGACTTTTATTCCTTTAGGTCAATCCTACATTTCCCATAATTACTGACACATCTTCTGATCTGTACAACTTGTCTCCAACTCGAGCTAATTGTTCAATGAGTAACTTGCCTCATAGTTTCCCCGCCATGACTCTCAGTTGTTCCTTTCTCTCTGTAAACTGACTGATAGAGGTGAAGGTTTATGGCTGTGAACAGTGTCACAGTTCTGAGATCCAGCAGACACAAAGCTGAAGACATATTTGTCCTTCCACCATCTTGAGAGTGTTTGCCAGGGTTTGATAAGGCTGGAACCTCAGTCGTGTCCTCTCTCTATAGCCTGTATTTTCGTCTGCTGTCCCATAAAGACAAAAGATTCTGGGGAAAGAAAAAAACATTATAATGGCATTAAATCACTTGGCCAACCTCTGTGTAAGAGACTGGAAGGGTAACATGATGTATAGCGGTTGCGGTTGCCAAGGTTTCCGGCTGATTAAAACTCTCAGGTTGCCATACATCTTCATGGCGAGTTTTGGTAAAAAACAGACACAAACTGTACTTTGTTTGTAAGTAAGTATATTACACTTTGCCGTGGAGGCATCGATCCAGGAGCATACTGCCAAATCCCTTCGTGTGGTAGGCTGATTGCATGTAACGTGACATAAAGTGAAGAGCTTATTGCTTACTCACTTATCAATCAATCAATCAATCAATCAGTGTTAAGCGAGGGCATACACTGTACGATTTGAGCCTGTTTCTGACGCGATTTTTAAGCCACAAGAGTCAAATTTCAGCTTTGTCAGGCATTGTTTGCCATGCGAGGACCGATCGACTGCTCATGAAGAGCCATCGGCCAGAGCAGAGCGTCTGAAAGTGCAGCGGTGACACGATGCATCATGATGGAGAACAGGGAGGCTGATTGAGCGATATGAATTTTTTTATTTCACCTGGACTTTTAAGGATTATTCTTTCATTCATAGATTAAAATGTATAATTATATACAGCAGAAGTTTAGTGATAGTGATAAGTGTAAATATAATAATACTGCTGGCACATTTCTAAATAAGCATGTCAGTGTTTATAACGCAGGGCGTTTATCCTTTGCTGGAGAAAGGGGGCATAAATTAAGAGTATAACCACTTTTCCACTGCTCACACTTTTATCGGTGCTTACACTGAAGTTTCAGGAAGTAGAGCACAAATCAGAAGGTTGGTGGTTCGATCTCCGGTTCCTCCCGCTGCATGTCAAACTGTCCTTGAGCACGATTCTGAATGGATTAGTTTCTGTTCTGATGAGTGTGAATGGGGTACCGTAAAGTAGTTTGAGTGGTCGGAAGACTGAAACTTCAACTTCTCAACTTGTGCCATTAATCTCAAAGAAAGTTGTGTCTTGATTGGACTGTACGCTTTATCCTGGTTCATATTAGTCTACAGTAATGAGCTTTTTCCCAGTCTACTGTATTATAATTCTTTTAAAGTGTTGCTGCCTGAATGTCTAATTCCATCTCTGCGTTGTTCCCTCTGTGTAATTAGCTCCACCGGTGACTTTATGTAAAATAGTTGTGCCAAGTTTTAATTGATTAAAAGTCGGCGTGTTATTTCGAGGAAGAACAATGTAGATCCAATTAGCACTGTAACGTGTAAACATGAACACTAACTCCCATGGTGCACCAGGGTCTGTGTGCATCTTTCTGTGTGTGTGTGATTCAGTGATCAGTCTCATTTCTTAATCATCACTTTCTGCTCCAGATGAGACTTTATGAGGGGACTAAATTGCCTTAAAGGGATTTCTTATTAAAGGGATTACACCCATGTAATCCCCTTAGTCCCAGTGGACCCCCAAAAACCTGAACACACACACACACACACACACACACACACACAGTTATACACTACATAACCAGATTAGCATGTGGAAATAAATGTGCACAATGTTTTTGATACGCTACAAATGAAAACACACACGTTAAATGATGGAGCACATCCGTCACGTGACCCCGTTGAAAATTGTGTGTATGTATTCATTACACAAAAAGTTGTGTGTATTTATAACCTTGACATGAATCTGTTTGTGTGTGTGTGTGTGTGTGTGTGTGTGTGTGCGGGTGTAGCGTAACGCTGTGGTTTTGGCAGTGCTCCCTCGTCTCATCCCCAATTAACGAAGACAAATCCGCTTCTATCTCCGCTAATGAGAGTCTTTAAGGTGAAGGGACTCTGTATTTATTTAATAAGAAGAAGCTTATTTATTCCATTTCCATGAGAAAGAAAAGCCGCCGCCGATTTGCACGGGGACGGATTAGAGGAGGAGGAGGAGGAGGAAGGAAGGAAAGGATGAGAACAAGTTGGATGGAGAAGGGGAAAGGGAAGAGGGTAAAGAAAGCATGGATTGAAGGAGGGGGGAAATAGCGTGACAGCAAGAAACAGTGAAGGCGTTACAAAAGACCTAAAAAGAGGAAGTTAGGGTGTCAATAAAGGTTTTGTCGTAAGATATCAAAGAGTTTTACTGTTACAGAAACTTTAACCTATTTGTTTACGGTCTTTTACCGTCATTGTTTTTCACCGTAAAATCTATAGAATTTTTTTTTACAGTGTAGATGAGAAGGAGGACAGAGAGAACTTGGAGGAGGAGGAAGAATTTGATGAGGTAGAAGATGAAGAGGATGAAGGAGGGGGATGAAAAATAAAAAGCAGAAGAGGAAGCAGAGAATTAGAGAGAGATGGAGGCGAATGATCAATGGACCATAAAACGTAGTCAAATTGTTACTGAAGCCTGTTGGGAGAAGAGCGAGAACACCTTCTTCATTGAGAAAACCCTTCAGTGAAGTTCTGTGCTCTTCTTCCAACAAAGAAATAGTTCTGATATAACTGATGCTAGCAACAGCTACGCTAACCTCTTTAGCAGCCACCACTGTGTCACACACACTTCGTCACACACACCTGGCTTTAAACCACGCCTGTAGTTCAGCTCAGCAGTCGTTCCTCAAAGGACGCTGATTGGTCCAAACCACTGTGATTCGGACACAAGAGCGCAGTTTGAAACCTGGCAAGAGTTCATTGAAGAGAAATCAAATAAAGTGGAGGATAAAGGAGGAAAGGGGGACAGGAAACAGAGGCTGAGTAACTCTTTCTGTATTCCCGCAGGTGGAGCTGACTGGCAGCAGCGTGTTCGACTACATCCACCCCGGCGATCACGTGGAGATGGCGGAGCAGCTCGGCATGAAGCTTCCTCCGGGCCGAGGGATGTCGCTGTCCCAGGGAGCCGTCAACGAAGACGGGGCGTCCTCGGCTTCGTCGTCGTCGCATTCCGAGACGCCCGAACCAGGTAGGAAATGAGGGAAGGATGAGGAGTCTTTTTTCCCCCACAGGACATCATGATCAAAATCTGAGATGTGGAGGGGTGGCTGGAGGAAACAAAGGAACACTGGGATAGGAGTGGATAGATGATGGAAAGTCCCTCATCATCCAGGGATTTCTGCTTTTGAGAAAGAAAGTAAAAGATGGAGGAGAAAAACTGGGGGACGGGAAAGGGAGTGGAAAAGGACAGAGGAGGATGGGGTGTAGAAGACAGAAGAGAAATGGAAGGTAAAAGAGCAAGATTGAACTGTGGAAAAGGAGAAAGGGATGAAACAAAAGGTCACGGAAGGAAAGGAGGGATGGAAGGAGAAGGTCAGGAGGGAGTGAAGGAGGAGCAGGAGGAAGATGAGGATGAAGAGTGTTAGCTGGTTGTTTGGACTGAATAATCAGTTCAACCTGCATGAATACATATTATATTGTATATAGATACAACTTCTAACAGTTTATCCGGCATAAAGTTATTGTCCATATGTTGCCAGTTTCAGCAGCATCCCAGTTTGTTTACTGACATCCTGATAATGTAAATAAGTGCCAGCATCAAATGCATGCAGTTTTTAAATTGTGCTCATTTTTAACTGTCTTCTGAGCGTGTAACTACTTTTACACTAGTGGACTAGTCTAAATGAGTCACCAGGAACATCCCTATTACGCTCATTTCTTTCACTACTCTTGCCTAAACCTAACCAATGAACACTAGCCAATCAGAGGAAGAGTAAGGCAGGTCTACGGCATGGATGTATAAAGAGAACTGGATATAGCGTTGGAGGCAGTTTTTGGGAAAGTGTGCATCTCTTGACGGACGCCATTGCTGTGATTACACAGGTCGGCCACTATGTCAAATTAGCTTCAAAGCATTGCGTTCTTCCTTAAGGCTTGGTCTACACAGAAAGCCGGTGGGGTAAAAAAAAAAAATCAAGCTTTACGCAAGTATTTAGGGATGCATACTAGACCCATCAGGAGGTGGCGGGAGCAATAACGAGTAAGGGTACTTGTGAGTACTGGTCCATTTCGGCCACTGTACATAACTTAAAATAAGTCTGTGTTAAGTTTTGGTGTCACACGGGACGCCAACAGCATCCTCCATATCTGACTTTAATGGTAAATTAAATCATGATGTCAGACGAAGCGAAGGGCCACTGACGAAGCTTCCATATTTCACGCGTTTGGGAGTGAAAACAGGCTCTCTTCCCTCTCTTGTTCCCCAATATCCCAGCATCCTCAGCTCTCAGTTTGAATATAATTAGTGCGCCACATTGTGAAGCCACCACTGCTGTAAACTGGGAAAGGACACATTCCTCATTGGGATTCTTTGCATCGCCGTCTTCTATCCCTCCTTTTATCCCTCCATCCTCTCCTGCGCCACATGTTCAAGACTTTTTACCTTCCAAATGCTTTTCAATGTGCTTCTCTCTCTCTCTCTCTCACTCATGCTGATGATAATTTAAGTATTAGGGGAAAATCCATTTATAAATTAAACAAAATGACTTGATATCCATCGAGTCCCTTAGTTCATCAGCCTGTTCAAACAAGGAGGGGAAGATTGGCTTTGCGGTGGCCGGGGTCTTCGGAGACGGCACGGTAATTAGATCTGCCGCGGATTTATTCTTGGCTGATTGGTGCTGGTGATGGGTGAGGTGGGGGGGGCTTTAAATTAATTGGAGTTCCACATTTGAGGTTTTTGTTCTTTTTTTTTCCCTTCTTTGACTTTCTGCAAACCTCTAACCGAGCCTCCCCGTGCACCAAACTGGAGATAGAAAGAGAAGACAGACGACGAAAGGATATACATGGTGGTCGTCAATGTCAATTTGTCCGGAGAGAAAGAAAAGGATCTAAAAACACGGATGGGTGTTTCCCCAATGCTAATTTGCCCTAAAGATAGAAAGATATGAAGACAATGAGGAATAAAAAATGGGGACAAGGGTTTATATGAATGTCTCAGTGATTCCCAAAGTTAATTTGACCAGAGAGAGAAAAAGAGTAAAAGAAAGGAGGAGGGAATGAGGACAAAGGTGTTTGTTCTCCCATGTTAATTTGTCTAGGAAGAGAGGCGGAAAGAAAGAGAGGCAGGGGATGTAGGGACGTGTTTGAATGTGCATGAGTGCTTAGCAATGTTAATTTGTCCAAAGAAAGAGAGAGAGAGAGAGAGAGAGAGATAGGGAGCAGCAAGGAGGGAGAGGTTTCAGACGGACATGTATGAATGTGAAGGAGTGATCCCCAATGATAATTCGACCAGAGAGAGAGGAAGAGGGAGGATTAAGATTCATGTATGTGTTCTTTAATGTTAATTTGTCTGGAGAAAAGAGAGGTGGAATAAAAAAGACAGAGGAGGAAGAGGAGGAGGAGGGTCCAGCAGGGCTGGTATGAATTTGTATGAGTGTTTCCCAGGAGGAGGTGGGGCTTAAATCAGGTGTCCAGGGTAACAGGCCTGTTCATTTCCTCCGCAGACAATGTGAGGTGACTGTCTGAGTGTTTGAACTGTTGTGAAACCGATTGAATTATTATTATTTTGACTTAAATAACTTAAATGACTAAATAATGTTGAAATGGATTAAATTTAAAATTCACAAACACAAACTCAATTTTTTAAGTCAAACGATTCTTGATTAAGCATCTTTTACTAGTTATTTGTGTGACACTAACTTAGTTTTGTAAGTTACAGAAACATTCCTGATAACTTCTTACTAGGTTGTTTTGTTTTCACAGCACAAAATTAAGTCAGTGTCACTAACGATTTTCAACAGTTTCAACTTTATTAAGATAAATTAACGTATCCAGTGTCAGATCTCAGCCTAGTCTTTTTAGGTTTTTGTACAACTGAAGTACGGTGAGAAATCAGTCTTGGTCTCTAGTTTGTGGTTGTACAGTTTCATGAAGCTGTGATTATCTTGGAGGTCATTTTATACAGTGTTAAAAACCGCATGTCCACTGTGTGCTGCAGGTGTCAAATGGCGTGATTCTACGTTAAGGTTTAGAGTTTAGAAGTTGGTGAAACTGTGCTGCAATGAACACACGTTTCTATGAGGAGTTTTTGTTAGTTAGTTTATATTTTTTCTTAAATTCACATTAAATTCACAGCATCCTCCACTCCAGACGATGAGTAATGCATTTCCACAGGCGCCTTCGTCATTAGTTTTCATCCCAGTCGATACCTGGCGAACACCACGCCTGCTAACGTCTCCGGCTGAGCTTTTCCATTTGTTTACTTCGTCTCTTCCTCCTCTTCCTCCTCCTCCCTCTCTTCCTCCTCGAGGCTTCTTTGTTTCTTTCGTCCTCCTTCCCCAGAATTTCCTCCCGTTCATCACCTGCCTCTTCCTCGGTGCACTGGGGAGTCTCCGATCGATCGCTGCTGACTTTGTTTCTCTGTGAAGTTTCACACTCCGGGCACCACTTCATCCTCCCATATGCTAATGGTCTATAGTGGGGTGATTTAAGGGCTGGTTTGCTCCTGTTTTTCTAACTGGTAACTTTATCTGGAAGACATACAGGCATTCACTGGATTGGACTGTGTGATTTCTGTCTTAAATAAAACAAGCTGCAGAGGCAAAAAACAAACTTTTAATTCATTATTCCTGCAATATCTCCCCGATGGCAGAGAACATCAGGCACCTATAACATGAACTCCAGACTTCGTTCATTCAATCAACTGAACTGTCCTCACACAGTCAAAAACTTGCAGCCACACCCACGCTTTAATCAAGGGTGGGTGTGGCTGCAAGGTTTTGTTCCAATCAAGCAAGAAGACACCTGAAATGACTGTGTGAAGACAGTTCAGTTGATTGAATGAACCAAGTCAGGTGTGCTGCTGCATGGTTGGAATTCACGGATCAGTTTGACACCCCTGCTAGTGTGTAAAGTATACAAACCTTATATGGTCATGTAGATATATTTAGAATTGACAGCTGTCATAAAACATAAATTACATAACGTCATTCAGATATTTGCTATGAAAATACATTAGTTACTTGGCTGTGCAACATGAAGGTTAGATTTATGTTTTATTGTTGGACTTTCAAACAGTATGTTCTACTTTAACATGAAAGCTTTGAGGTTGACAATAAAATGATGAATCCAATAAAAAAGCAGGACGAAGGTGCAAACGTCGCCCTAAACTCTGATACTCTGATGTTTCTCAATGCAGAAAGTAATAACCCTACGTAAGTATGTGATGTTAAACACGTGGATAACATGAAACCGTCTCATTTTGGTGACGTTTAGGCAACAAAAGTATTTGGTTAAGTTTAGGGAAAGATCATGTTAGTCACACATTTAACATAATTAAAAACATTTTAAGCCAGCTGGACCAATGTATCCACCATAACCTCCTCCATATGTTCACCCTCTCTCTCTCTTTACACTGCTCCAGTCATAATTAATATGGCCACTAGAGGTCGCCGCCTGAAAGTTATTATTTTATTATTTTGAATAAGCTGGGCGCACAATCAACCTATACAGGCGCTTTTCTGGTGAGGACGGGTTCACCGTTAGCTTTGTTAACAAACTTCATAAAATATGAAACCAAAGTTACATTAGGCTCTTTTTCTGGTGTGACTGCGAAGCTACGAGTGGAGGTCACCATCAAGGAATATGGATAATGTTGAGGAAAGCGATCTCTTTAAACCCTTATCCTTGCGTGTTCTTTTAATGAAGCAATAGGAGAAGATTTACTCAATAATCAGCTTTATTCTTAACACCAGTAGAATGTGCAAAGTTTACAGTCCAGACTATAGTATCCCTGACAAGCAACAAAGTGTGTGTCAGTTCACGAAGTCCGACCCTCTAACTCTCCCTGACCCAGTGTATTATAGTACATCAGTGAGAAACGTCATAATAAGGCATCGTCTTCTTCCCATCAGCTGTAGGCGCCTTCCCTCCTCGTAGTATCTGACTCCAACGTCATGCTGACGCTTCCGGTAACCTGAAACTTCACATACCAATAGACACTACGCCTGTTCTTTGCAGCAGAGTGAT